TATGGCCATGCTTACTTATACATAGAAGAAGGGAAAAATGGAGTATTCTCAAGAAATGTGACATCTGCAGAAATAAGATAACGGTCAAGATCAAGAGAGAAACAACGATACCCTTTTTTATGCCGAGAATACCCAAGAAAAACACAATGAAGGGAAGAAAAACACAATGAAGGGACTTTGGATCTAATTTGGAAACCTATGAATGGACATCACGAACAAAACAAGTACAACCAAAAATACGAGGTTCAATGGGGAAGGAAACAAGACATTATAAGGAATTGCACCATTAAGCACAGAAGAAGGCATGCGATTAATCAAAAAACATGCAGTAGAGATAGCATTAGCCCAAAAATGTTTAGGGAACTTCATTTGGAATAGAAGTGCCCTAGCAACCTCAAGAAGAGGTCGATTTTTTGTTTCTGCAATCCCATTTTGAGAAGGAGTATCAACACAAGAAAGATATCAACACAAGATGTTTGGGATGGAGAATAGCCATTTCTTGTGACTCATATACAGATTAAGAAGGAAACTAGACTAGCACTATTCGCTTTAGGCATTATCACTAAGCATACTGCGAACAGAGGTTTTAAATTGAGTTTTAATTTTTAAGCACAAAAAGGACAGAAAATAAGATGATCTCAGAATGAGTTTTCACTTAAGAAATAACAAGTAACGACGGAATAATCATCTCACAAAAAATTACAAAGATACTGAAGCCAGTTTTAAGAATAACATGGACATGGACCCCAAACATCAAAATGAACTTTACACTCAAAGGGGATGAAACTCCGTTTATTGACTCGAGAACTAAAGGTTAAACAATGATGGTTTGGCAGATTGACAAGATTCACATTCCAAAATTGACAAAGACTGAAACTGTGGGACACCTTTCTTTAAAAGTAGACAATGAAGGATGATCCCAAATGACTAATGAATCAAGAGGAGATAGAGCACAGCACACGCCGAGAGATAACTAAATGGGGTTCATCCAGAAGATAAAGTGCCACCAGACTCACCTCCCTCTACCAATTCCTCTACCAATAATTCGCTTCGTCAAAAGATCCTGAAACACACAATATGTAGGATAAAATTTGACACAACAATTCAGTATACGAGTAATTTTGCTAACATGCAGTAAATTAAATGAAAAACAAGGCAAACAAAAAACAGAAGACAATGGAAGAGATGGGATGGGATTAGCGGTGCCAATAAACTTGACAGGAGAGGTGGACCTATCAGCTAGAGTAACATGATGATTAAATTATTCAAGTTCTTTTAATGAGGATAAGAGACTGGGGTTACCTGTCATGTGATCAGTGCAACTAGAATCAATAACCCACTCTAATGAGGTAGACATAAGACATGAAAGAGGAGTACCTAAATTGGCAATAGCAGCAATTGAGGAATCAGTAGACTCAGAAGAACGGTATCTAGAGAGTTCAGCATACTCACAATAGAAATTATTACATTGTTGTCAGAAGAAGTTATTGCATAATCTTGAGTTGCCATATTTACCCTTGGTGGCTTATTATCAATTTCTTGCAATATCGTTTAGTGTGACCAGGTTCATGGCAATAATGGCAGATAAGAATGCTTGCCTCCCGAGTGATTGGTCCATTACTACGGTTATTTACTGTTATTAGTCATTTCGTTGCAATATCGTCTTAGTGTGACTCAGCGTATATCGTTTAGTGTGACCAGGTTCATGGCAATAATGGCAGATAAGAATGCTTGCCTCCCGAGTGATTGGTCCATTACTACGGTTATTTCCTCCTCTTCTGTTTCATGGTTGCCTAGCTACATGATTACGACTCACAAGGGAACTACTATCAGAAGGGGAAGGAGTATGAGAACCTTCAGTATGTAGCAATCTAGCGAATGTCTTCTGAAGAGACGTAACATCACTGCCTGAAAGAACTTGTGATTTGGCAGTTTCAAAAACTGGAGCAAGACCTGCATGAAAACTCATCACAGCCATTTGTTTCCCAGTTGCGTCTATTGAACCTTAACATCGGGACTAAAAGGTAATAAAGCATTAAGTTCCTCGTAAATTTTGTTAAATTCCATGAAGTAAGCTGTAAGGAGCTTATCTTGTTGGTCGGCTCGATAAAATCTTTTGCAGACCTCATACATACAAGACAGATTACATTTTCCTAAGTACAAGAATTCAAAATATTCCATTAATTCTTTAACAAACTCACAATGATTGATTAACCCAACAACTTCACTGTCAATAGAATTGCGAATCAGTAGAAATAACTTAGAATCTTCCCTGAGCCAACGTTGCCTAGTGTCATCAGTTGGTGGATCATCAATTAGATGATCATCTTTTTCAACACTCCGCAAATAAATTCGAATTGTCTTACTTTGTCTGACTACCAATCTAAATAATATTCCTTTTAATTTTATGTCTATGATTTTATTCACATTGCTGGGATCAATTCAATAATAGTAGTTTTAGAATCTGTAGGTGTAGGATCCATTATTAATAAAACCTAAACACCCTACTAGCAACGCAGAAAGAGACAAAAAAAAAAAAAGGAAAATAGCCTTTCACTGCAAACAGGAGCGAAAAATAACCTGAAACGCCAAATTGACAGAACTAAGAATGCCCCTACGAAAATTTCGCCGGATCAGAAAAACAACCACCTCACTAGACTGATGACCAAGAATCGAAGCCAGAAAGTGATTTTCGATCGCCGAAAATAGCTAGAAGCGCCGACAAGTGGTACTGTAGCAGAAAAGTCAATCGGCGCATGAGGCCCACGTGCAGGGAATTCGGTGATCGGATTTTGAGTTAACGTTGGTCGACAGCTGGAGCAACTCCTGGAGTAGGCTATGAGACAAAACAGTGACGCTAGAGTGGTCACTAACACTGACAGCCAGTGCAGGGAATCCAGTGACCGGATTTTGAGAGAACGCCGAAATTTGCAACGCAAATGGGAAAATTCAAGTTTAAAGAGCCACAGGCTCTGATACCATGTTAATTTAATATTGAAAAATATTTTTCTTCTCTTTGATTCATCAATAGGCACATATATATACATTGTAATTCAATGTGGAAAAAATATTATTGTATATGTTTTATCAATAGGGACACACACACACATATATATACAAGATACTATAAACCTATTAGGAATCTAACTCCTAATAGAGTTCTATGTACAACTAATCCTTAACAAAAAACAATTAATGTAAAAAGCCTACTTTTGAGAAAGTAATGAAAAAAGTCTATTTTGAGCCAAATATTGTTAATGCTGAAGAAAAATAAAATATATATAGAAAAAGAAAATGAAAAAGAAAAGAGAAGTTTCAAATATATATAAATAAAGAACCTTGCTCAAGTACTATTACACTTTAGGCACAAAAAAAAAAAAAAAAAAAAAAAAAAAAAAGAGATACAAAAAAAAAAAAAAAAAAAAAAAAAAAAAGAGATACAAAAATAATAAGTAAAAAAGTCATTATAATTATTTGGCTACGAAATAGTTTATATTTTTTCCCCCAACAGTTCTCAAGAGCCTTTTTTTGATTTCAAATTTGAGCCGTCGCGATAAAGCCACGATGGAATATAACATTAGTTAAATCTTATCTTTATTACATTTCATTATCACGAATGAAGAGTATCTTGATACATGTCTACTTAGAAAGAGCAAACTCTTTCTGATTAAATTTCTTCTAATATTGAATTTTTATTTTCTGTTGAATATTTATGTTTTCTACAGTAAAAAGTTGTATCTAAAAAAAAAGACAGGCTGAAAAAAAAAAGTTTTTATGTTTTTCACATTTTGTGTTTTTTTTTATATGCATAGAGACTGCCATTTTTAATAGCAGGTTTGATGCAGAATTTAAAATATTTTTTCTCTTTTATTGAAAAGTTGACTCTTTTAAATTCCAATGATAGATTGAGTGCAACAATTTGCTTTCCCCCATAGACATAAAATTTATAAATTGTTTCAAATTCACATCACTTCTCTAAAAGTAAAAGTATACAAAAGCTCCTATATAGTGAGCGAGATTAGGATATTATTATAGTTATTACAGTAACAGAATATATCTTCTTATCAAATTGCCAAACTTGTGACATGCAAATAGATTTTTTGTAAGCAAAGGGAATGTAGAGGGTAGAGTAAATTATGGGAAAAAAAAAAAAAATTTAATTCCTTAATGAAACTAGATGTTGCATTGTTCTTTTCAAAGTATCAAGCAATTGTGAGATAAATAATAAAGCTATTATGAATAATTTCAAATTTGAAAGAGAACTTTAAAGAGAAAAAAAATTATTTGGTTTCCATCATTTTTCTTCCAACATATTTTTCTATGTAATTTTGCTTATTCATAACACAGAATTTCACACATCCTTGCACAATAAGCTGCGTTTAATTGTCTTCTAGAATGTTTGCATCGTGATTAAGTAGAAAATAAATAAACGGGTGTTGAAAACATCATGCGGCAAGACATGATTAGAATAAACAAATTGAGAGTAATTTAAATCTTCATAATAAAATCAACTTGTCATTTTAGGAAAAGAATAAAACAATTGCAATGTGAATGAAAGGAAAAAAACAAATTAAAGGGGAAATAATTCTCGAAATTACAACTGTGACCCTAATAATCAAAATTGTACTGATCAAGCTTGTCCTCACTGTGTAGTTTAGTACGGCTTAAGCTCCGCGGTTGGTCGTTTACTTGTAGGGTCTATTGATTTTCCTAACAAAACCGTAAAAAAGTGAACAAATAATGTTTACAGAGTTTAATTCATGCCACCTCATAAAACTGTAGATAAGTTTTTCTTTAAAAGAAAAAAAAAAAAAAAAAAAAAAAAAAAAAAAAGATATAGACATATATTAATATAGATTCATGCAGTAGAGGTTGTAAAATTCCTGTGAGAAGGTGACACTTATGGAGGCGAAGAAGACAGATAAACGTGGAACGACTGTATTAAAAAAAAAAAAAAAAAAAAAAAAGATATAGATATATATTAATATAGATCATGCAAGTAGAGGTTAAATTCTGTAGGTAACAGTTATGGACGGCGAAGAAGACAGAAACGTGGAACGACTGTAACAGCCAACTGCTCAGTCTGATCACTTCTAATGCTGAGCCCAACGGCTCCCGAAGTTCGTTGTAGTATCTCTCCGCCCAAAATCAGGCCAGCTCCCACCATGCTTCTCCATTTACCCTTCTCTGTAACTGTAAGTGTTCTTATCTCCTCCCTCCAAAAATATACATATGTGTATCTTGCGTGATTTTTACGCTTTTCGATATGAAATTGACTCTGCAGACATTTACGAGTCCAACCAAGTTTCTGGGTAATTTCGTAAGAGGCAAATTTCATTCATCCATTGAAGATTTTGTTCTGTCTCCTAGCAGGGGGAGAAGGCTCAATTCTGTGAAGTCTGTACAGACGTCATGTCGGGTTTCTGTTCCTGGGTGTGGAAAAGAAAATGTGCTTTCAAGTTCAAGTAATTTGAACGAAAAGAAGAAGATAGTTCCTCATTCGGAGCCTCCTAGCATTACAGATGTCAATCTTTTGTATCAATTTTTCGATCGAAGGTAAATATATCTTTCTATTAAAATGTTAATTTTCTTCTCTTGCTAGTTTCTTTCCTTTTGGTTTTATGTATTTGTGATGATGCTTTGTGCAGCTCTAACCTCATGGTATTGACTGGAGCTGGAATCAGTACAGAGTGTGGAATTCCTGATTACAGAAGGTTCTAGTTTTCTGACCTAGTTTTTAACAAGTTCTTTTGATCCAATAATCTGAAATGGCATTTCGTGATTGTTCAAATTGAATTTATTTTCTTGCTTCTCAGCTTGTGCCTATAATTTTCCAATAATCAGTAATTTTATCATATGGTTGTAACTGTGGATTGTTTTCTTGGTTGTATGCTTGGTCCTCATTTAAAATTTATTTTCACTTCCCTCTTCTATCTCTTTATGTTACTGCCTCATTCAAGTCAAAATTTTCCTCTTTCTTCATGTTCTTTTTGCTCTCTTTGTTGTAGAGTTAAAATTGAAGTTTTATCATTTCAAATAAAAAAAAAAAAAATGAGAGAAAGATTATATATATTGAAGTTTCATACTTCCGTAGAGTCAATATATCAGTTGCTGATTATTTTCTAAAAGCATTTTGGTTGGATTTATATCTGCTGAGTTAAACTGATAGTTGAACAACAGAAGACTCAATATATCAAGTTCTTTTTTTTTTTGCAGCCCAAATGGAGCTTACAGTTCTGGTTTCAAACCAATTACCCATCAGGTGATCTGAAGGCATGTGCGTGATATCTAACTCTTTTGGCATTATTCAACATTTAGAAGGGGTGTAGAAAGAGTGGATAAAACTAGAGGGTTGAAAGTAGAGCACTGAACAAAATGTGAGGTTGCTTTTGAAGTTCAAGTAAATAGTATTTTATATGGAAAACAGAACTTAAATTCTCTTTGAATTTAATTAATATTGCTTCAGAACTGAACAAATGGTTGGATATCATCTATTTAAAACCAAAATAAAATGCTAAGAACTTCCTGCCTCTTTTTTATGACTTGAACTGATTTTCTTCTTTGTAGTAGCAATTGTCATGGATAATTCATCACTATATACTCAAATGAACAAAATATAATCCTGAACCTGTTTTGTTTTAGATAACACTGTGGATAGAGGATGTGGCATTGCTTGACGTGATTATCATAATAGATCAGTTTAATTGGTTTGGTTTGAACTTATGGACTGGTCAGAATCAATGATATAATGTCATTTCATTTCTTTTTCTATTTGAGAAGCAATATTAGCCTTGTTTTACTATTTTGGATAAATTACTTTGTCTTCCTTTTAAAAATTTACAATTAGTTGTTTCGTAATTAATAATTTACTTAAACATTGTATCAAAATTCTTTCCTTGGTTCAGGGTTGTGCAAAAGAAATTTCTGATGAACAGGCTCTCTTTGTCTTTTAGCTAGTTTTTCAGTTACCCCAACAAAAAGCATGAGAGTAGCATATGGATGATGAATTACTTGTTTCTATGTGCAATCAAATGCAAATAGGCTGAAAAAGGAATTTCAGTTGTAAAGAGAAATTTCAGTGTATCATTTCTTTCTGCAAACCAAAACATTCTTGAGAATTGCAGTTGTGCTCAAACCTTCCAAATAGACTATTTTACTTAACCTTTAAAGATTCATTGCAAAAGTACCATCATTTTTTGCCACTCAGGAGAGATTGATGAAGAGCTATGCTAGAATTGAGTTTGGAGATGAGTGATTGAAAAAAGTGATAGGTGTAGTAGCTCAATTATCAATTACGATCAAATGGATACAATTGCAATGAATCTTTAAACGTTAGGATCAAATGATTTATTTTGGAAGGTTTGGTATAATTGCAATTTTTAAAAAGGCCTGGGTTTTTTTTTGCCGCTAGGCCTTTTTATTTTTTATTTTTAATTTTTTGACAAACTAGTCTGAACTCTAGCCTAGTTGTTGAATCCTTTTTCTATTTTTCTCTGAAAAAGCAAATCAAGTTTAGTTTTTGACCTGTTCCTTTATCCTTGTAATGCTTCACGAATAGGAGTTTCTCCGTTCAAGTCGAGCCCGCAGGCGGTATTGGACTAGGAGCTATGCTGGATGGAAACGGTTTACCGCTGCACAGCCTGGTGCAGCTCATTTTGCTTTAGCATCACTGGAGAAAGCTGGTCGGATCAACTTTATTGTTACCCAAAATGTGGACAGGTAAAATAGCTTTATATAGCTGGCCCTTTGTCTTTGAGTACTGAGGGCATAAGTGTGCAAGTCTAATGGCACTAATTTATCAATATCCTGTTTCAGACTACATCATCGTGCTGGGAGCAACCCGCTTGAATTACATGGGACTGTGTATTCTGTCATTTGTCTAGACTGTGGGTTTTCCTTTAGTCGGTATTTATTTCAAGACCAGCTGAAGGACCTTAATCCAAAGGTTGGTTTTGTGCAAACCTTTCCATTTTGCAATACATCCTATGCTAGAAAAAGGGTATATTACTTTGCTTAGGTGTACGCCTTTTGTTTTTCTCCTTTGTGCCTTGGCTTCAATAGCCTTGGCACTTGAGTTAAACTAGCATTTTTGGCTATACCATGAAACTCTTCGGTCAATGACCCCCTTTCATTCATTACACTCTCATTCTGACAATACTCACTAACTGCAATGAAGACTTCAGGATTCAGAATTTAGCATAACATAATTTCAAGACCTGTTTCAAAGAATAAAGGATAGGAAAGATTTTGTTTCTCAGAGAATATCTGAAAATGAAAAGGAGACATTCGAATGCCAACTATTGAATTTTTCTATACAGTGTTGTGTTGAAATGAAGGTCAAAGAGCCTATAAAATACTGGTTGGGATCTTTCCAACTACAATTGTATTCTTTTTGGAGTCACCATGGTGTTGCCTCAAATCCAGTGAGCCAACTTTTAGATCAGTAATAGGAGCTTGAGCTCTTTTTGTGCTATAATCACTAGTAGTTTAAAAAGTTTTTAAAAGTTAGAAATGCATGTCTCCGCATGCCTTAGAATGAAATTTATTATTGATAATCAAAATCTTTTTTGTTTGGAAAATATATGGATAGATAATTATCGAGTCAAATCTTATTTTGTGGCTTGTGTGCCTTGTAAGCTGGTAGTGCCCTTGCACAGCATAACATTTTGCTTTACTTGTTTTCATCCTTTTAATGTCAGATGGTTCATCGTTCCGTTTATAGCTTTCTGCGAAAGCATATTTTGATCTGAGCTGCTACTATTGTAATTGTGTTGGCCAAAAGCTACCAATGAGTTCCTTTTACTGCAGTGGGCAACAGCAATTGAAAGTTTGGATTATGGTAGTCCTGGATCAGACAAAAGTTTTGGCATGAAGCAAAGGCCTGATGGTGATATTGAGATTGATGAGAAATTCTGGGAAGAAGATCTCCACATACCAACATGCCAAAAATGCAATGGAGTGCTCAAACCTGATGTAATGATTTTGTTTCATAAATTAGAAGTTTCAGTATGGTATACGTCTGGATGTTTTTAGTTTCTGGATTCCAATGCAATCACTACGTCCTCTTGCTATTACCTGATGATGATGATATAAAGAGATGCATAAATGATAGCCCACATTTTTGTTTTCATTTTTTTTAACTGGTTCACAGGGTGATCTACACATATCTAGCAACTTTATACACACACAGTCATGAGATTTTTAAATATGATTCTTATTAGGGATAAATGTATAAGGCCTCATCAGGGAGTAGGTGTATGAACTAAATAAATATCAGTTATGGGACACAGCCTTAATCTGGCTTTGATAGAACTTTTTATATTTACTTTTCTTCATTGCTTTAGCATTGTGTATGACATCCTATAATCTGTCCCTTTGTATTAATGTTTGTGTGCTTATGCAACCAGAAGTTAGTTTATTGCTTTTCATCAATATAGTTTCTATGCCTTTCTTTTTCATGGAAAATTGTCCAACTTTTGATATCATATGGGTTTGGATTAAACATTAGGGACATAGTTTGGACTGTTTATGGAGGTGTACAGATTAATTCTGTCCTAGATTCAAGTTGAATTATTTGAGTAACGAGTTATGGCACTTAGTCACTTGTATAAATAGGCTTGTCCAGCTGTTATGAATTATATGTTTTCCTGTAATATACTTGTCAATTCCAAAGGTAGAATGAAATTAGCGGTGGATATGGAACAAATATTGTGGACATAAGCATGTTGACTGTGTGTTAATGATCACTTTTTTGTTTTTCTAACGAATGTGTTCGTTTATTTTCCTATTAACTGCCACAGAAATGAAAAATAAGCAAATTTTCTAATGTTGATACTCCACTTGACAATCTTGAAGGTTGTTTTCTTTGGTGATAATGTCCCCAAGGATAGAGCAGACAAAGCAATGGAAGCTGCAAAAGGTTGTGATGCGTTCCTTGTACTGGGATCATCCGTAATGACCATGTCAGCTTACCGACTCGTTAGGTATTTCTACATTGCTTGCATTTCTTTTAAAAAAAATTATAACAAATTTTCAGTTACTTTTTGAGGTGATGTACCAGATGACTTTGTTTAAAGAAGACCACGTGTCTTCTTCAGTGCATGAATAGAAAGACTTAGGAAGTCTTTTAGCTGCACCATTCAAATGTTGAATGACGTTTTTATGATATTTGGCTTTGGGATGGTCATGGGTCAGGTATTGGGCAGCCATGGGTTGGGTTGGGGTACGGTGTGGGTTCTCCAAAACCTGAAATCCAACCCAATAATGACTCAATGTCACATTATCTTCACTTGAGTAAAAACAATCTGGGTTAACTGTGGTTGACTTCAAAAAGTGGAATTGGGAATTGTTTCCCAATAATCTCACATTATTCATGAATCTATTCAAGAATGATTTTCCATTTAAAGCCACAAGTTGGACTGTGACTATAGCTTAATAATTTTACTCTTTCTAAAAACTTTACCTCCATAGCCAGAATTTTATCCTTGATGGACATTGATAAAAAAAAGAGAAGGGGATGCTCTAAAACTACTCAAGGTGTAATTTTTGTCTGTTTGATATAATTTGCTTCGGTAATATCATCTCTATAAATATATATATAAATATATAATACATGTAGCATGAACCCAATTCAGGTAAAAAATAAAAACCCGCACTGCCCATTTAATATATGGGTGGATCGGGGGCAAGTATTCTATGAGGCTGACAAAGTTGAAAAAAGGTTATTATTATTATTTTTAAATTTTATTGCTAGATAGAATTAACTGAATATGCATCTTGCATTGTCTCACTGACGTATTTAAGTTCATTCTCATTTTTAACCCCAGAGCATTTCACATTCTTTTGAAGTTTGTTTCTGATGAAAGCTTAAAATTTCATTACATCCAAGAATATGTTTAATAAGCTGTTACGAAATATAAGGTAACATCATGTAATCATTTAGCTAATTACATTATGTTCCTAAGTTCATTTAGTGCCTAGATTCTGATGCATAAGCCCCATTTTTTATTTCCTTTTCTCACATTACTACTATTTAGCAAATAACATGGTACAATGAAGTGATTGATACATGTGGTTTTCTTTTTATTTTTGCCCCTCTACTTTTTAGCTGACAATGCTATTCTGAAATCAAACATCACAGGGCTGCCCATGAGGCGGGTGCTGCTATGGCAATCGTAAATTTGGGTGTGACACGAGCCGATGACTTTGTTCCCCTTAAGATCAATGCCCGGCTGGGAGAGGTAAAATCCTCTATAATCAATGTGAGATAATAGTTGCTGCAATTTTGTGTTTGTTTCACTGATGTCTGCATGTCATGGCGTTTCATAGATATTACCTAGAGTAATTGACATTGGATCGCTCAGCATTCCTGCTCTCTAGTTCTATAGAAACCAGGTATGATGATTACTACATTGTCTTCCATTCACTTTAATCTCTCTCCCATGCGTTATAAATTTCAAATGCAATGAATTGACATGTTCATATTTGTGCTTTTGTTTTTTCTGTTTCTTAGGTAAGTGCTTCAAAGAAAGGATATATCCCTGCACAGTAAATCATCTTTCATCTGTATCAAAACTTGATTCCACAGAATGAGCTGCAGAGTGATGGAAAGTGATCGACCGTTTTTTATTGTGTATGCTTCCATGTAAAGTTTTTCAATGTGTTTTTGTTTTTTTTTGTTTTTTTTTTTTTTTTTTTTTTTTTTTTTTTTTTTAAATCCTCTATAATCAATGTGAGATAATAGTTCTGCAATTTGTGTTTGTTTACTGATGTCTGCATGTCAATGGCGTTTTCATAGTATTCTAGAGTAATTGACTTGGTCGCTCAGCCCATTCCTGCTCTCTAGTTTCTATAGAACCAGGGTATGATGATTACTACATTGTCTCCATTCATTTAATCTCTCATGGCGTTATAATTTCACAAATGCAATGAATTGGACATTTCATATTTTGTTGCTTTTTTTGTTTTTTCTGTTTCTTAGGTAATGGCTTCAAAGAAAGGATTATATCCTGCCGTATCATCTTTCATCTGTTCAAAACTTGCAATTCCACAGAATGAGCTGCAGACGTGATGGAAAGTTGGATGGACCGTTTGTTTTTTATTGTGTATGCTTCCATGTGAAAAGTTTTTCAATGTGTTTTTTGTTTTTTTTTTTTTTTTTTTTTTTTTTTTTTTTTTTTTTTTTTTTTTTTTGAACTGTAAATAAGGCTATTGAAAAGCCCAATTGGGCGTCCCAAAGCAAAATAGTAGAGGGGAGCAGGGCATGTTATTACATGTTTATATTTTACTAATTGTGCATGATAATTGTTAATTTAATCAAAGGCTATCGGGCGTTCATTAGCCAGTTACAAAATACCTAGCTTTATATCAAAACAAAATAAGCCACTTGAACTTGTTGCTTCCAGAGAACCAGGTGACCATTGCTTGGTTTAAGCTTGGAAATCAGGATTGAAACATTGAAATTTGATTAAATTGGTTCAATTCAGTTTTATCTTTTATAAAATTTGGGTTCTATTTTGGATTCGGTTTTTATTTTTCAAAGCCAAAAATGATGGCCTTTTCTCATTCCTTTATGCATTTTTGCAATCTCCGCTTGTTCCTAGGTTGGCTTTGTGCTTGAAAATTGTCAAAAATGTTCAAAGACCTGATCCCGCCCGCTGTATCCAGTCCTTTTTTCACAAATTGAAGTCCGCAACTCAGTCAGATGACAGGTCCTACCTTACCTTTTGTCTAGTCCTCTCTCTTAGTATTCATATCTCTCACCCTCTCAATGCTTCTTGACTTAAATTGAAATCCTCCCCCTACGTCAAAGATAAGGATAGGAGACATTTGTATGCATAGCTAGGGATGTAATACGTCTTTCGCAGGCATAGCTTGCGATGTAAATGAGGATATTCAAACTCAGCTAGAAAAATTTTCAAAAAAAATCTATCTTGAATCAAACTTGAGCCTAATAATGATCAACTTAAAAACTTGTTAAACCTTATTGAATTTATATATAGTCTTTATAATATAGAGATAATAATATATATAATATATATAATAAACATGCTTATTTCCCGCCAAGCTCCGAATTTTAGGAAATTTTTGGGTTTAGAAACTTGAACCGAGTTTTTGTAACCTAACGTACAGTCCTAACCCCCAGCTGATTAGGTTTTCATAATCTTGCATACTAATGCTATATAACATGCTTATTTCCCGCCAAGCTCGATTTAAAATTTTTGGGTTAGAACTTGAACCGAGTTAAATTTGTACCCTACGTACAGTCCTAACCCCACTTTAGGTTTCATAATCTTGCATACTATGCATCATTGCATGTTTTTTTCATGTTTTCTATTTTTTTTTCCCTTACATTAGAAAGATAATTGGCTGATTTTTGACAATTTGTATTATCTTGTGTTATCTTGTTGCATATTACAGTTTGCATATTTCTTTTAATTCAAAATATAAAAATTTCTATATTTCTTTAAAAATCTGGATGTATTAACATGTATACAACTTAAAATATAATATTCATATTTCTTTTAGTTTTATTCACAGATACTTAGCTATTTCTTCTGAACTTAAGCTTCAATTAGGTTAAATTTTGCCTATTTCAGACTTACCATATAATTACCCCAAGTCCAAACCAAAAAACCAAACTTAACCTCAGTTCCGATCAGTTTTGTGTTTTAAGTTGGTTTGGTTTGATTTCTTCAAATTAAATTCAATTTATTTGATTTGAAAATTTCAAACCTGAGCATAGGCTCACCGCTCACCCCTGATATTAATTAACATACTTAAAACATTAGAGAGGAACCTCATTCTGAGGTAGCTATACTTTTTTAATAAGGATAATGCTTGCAATGGATTAAGTTTTGGTAATAATGTGCAGACCCTCTAACCACAGTAATAATGACTAATTAGTAATTACAGACAATAGCTACACCCATAATTTGGACAAAGGGGATTCAGACATACCACTTACAGGGCCTATGCAAAATGCAGCAATCAACTGCAAGCAAACACAAAAAGGACATCTGCCTACCATTTTCCACTTTCTTACAACCAAAACAAGAAGATCCTACACTCCCACAACACGTCCACCTAAGCTTCTAAGAGTCAGCGAGTGCCTTGTCAATTTCCTCTACATGATCCCGAAGTACATTCCACTATACAAGAAGAGAACATAAACAGTATTAGAACTTTTCATTCATAACCACTCGACGGAGCTTTGAGTTCAAGAAGAGATACCTGATCCACACTTAATGATATTCCTGGAACCAAATACAAAAGGAGAGAAATTAGGAAGATAAAAGAACACAAGATAAAAGGAAGAAATTAGGAAGAACTTAAAACTATCTTTTTCTGTTACACCAAAAAAACCCAAACGTGCAAGGGCCGTAACAAAAGAAAATAAATAAATTCATGCATCCAAAGCAAGAAAAGCACAAGTTAATCAAATGAAGCTTTGGTTCCAAAACATCACTTCAGGGACTTATTAAACCAACCCAAGGAACATCAACTATGAACAGGTTGGACAGTTGCAGAAAAAGTTTCAACTTCTTGCAACAAATTATACAGAAATAAAGTTAATAAAAGATCATGTCTAGTTTTGTAATATCTTTACTGCTTAGCAACTACAAAAAGGCTTCAGGAAGGTGTCTTTAATGTAAAGCAAGAAACTAGGATATAAAATAAGGCAGGCTGCAGTGGCAATACTATGCAGGCCTTCCGCCTTCGCCATTGAAAATTAAAAAGATAGGACTATTTCTCATACGCTTAAGAAAATGATTTAGCTTTAGCATATTTTAACTTCCCCAAGAGTAATGGAAGGGAAGTACAACCAATGTGTTAGGTCAAAAGAAGAAGCCAATAAAAATGACTCTTTTAATTGTCAGTTGACAATATATGCTCTCACTTTCCACATTATTTACACCCACAAAATAAAAAAAAAAGGACAAAGAAAAAGAAGAAGAAATTCTTTATAGACCTACGTATGATTGTCTGCATCATACTTGACCCTTTATTCTATGCCAGCCTCAAGAAATCTCTTACCTCAGATAAAATTTAAATCCTTAATCCTAAATTAAAGATTGGAGAGAACAGATATATAATAAGGTTGGAGAATAAAACATGAGCTCTTAATGATTGTGTTGCTAGAATGATTTGTCTTTGAATTTAGCAGATAAAGGAAGGCCTAGATGTATTCCACCAAGCAACCCAAAACCCTAAAAAAATAGTTCCATTGACATCTTCACCAATGAAAATCAACTTTTCACCCAAATATACCTTAAGATCACCTTGTTACAATATATTTTGTCAAATCATTCCCCCCACACAGTAAGCTTCTTTTTTGTTGGAAAGAAAATGGACATGAATGATATAGCTTCATTCAATCATAATCTACTTCAACATTAGAACCCAATTGTAAACACACAGAACTAAAAATTCAAATATTTAGGTTAACACAAAAGATTCATATTGTTACAAAGATGGAAAAGCACATTTCAGTAGTCCATATCTAAAATATGCCCTTCTCAAGTTAATCAGAAAAGCATCAAAACTTGAATTACTGAAATATCCTTGGTTCCCTAGGTGTTACTGGGGAATGATAAATTTATAGACATGATATTAAAAACTTCAAATTTTTAAGTTGAAGTAATAAACTGTAGAACATCAAATCAAAAGCTAATCCACCAAACTAACAAAAAGAAGAAAAAGGAAAAGAGAAATTCTCAGAGTGTTGAATCTATGTATGAACTAGATTACGAGTATAACCATGATTCAAACTGACAACATAACTAAAACCCTAGAGCGTGAGAGAGAGGTACCCTTCTTTCCAGGCAGTTGCTTGCCATCTTTGTTATAGAACTCGCGAATATCTATCCAAACCTTTCCCTGCCAGTTCCTAACTGTCACTCTTCTGTTCTTCGATATCTACAAAATACAAAAATAAAATAAAAATAAATCAAAACATAAAACCTAGACTCCATAACTAAATAGATGTAAACATACGCTTACCTCGCAAACGACAATGTCGTCTGAATCGTCGGTGGACTCAGTCTTGGAGGTTTTCTTGGGAGGCGCGTGGCCCTCAGAGTTGTCGTCCGACGCACCGTCCTCGTCCTTTCTCTTTCCTCTGCCCGACATTTTCTTTTCCTGTTTCTGGTCTCCTTCGATCTTCTCTTTGGCACGCTATATATACTAGGGCTTTACAGGATTTTGGTACAAAATCTAGCCCAAACCAAATTTTTGAAAATTTTAAATATTAACTATCCCTCCACTCGCTTTCAAAGAAAAAAAAAAAAAAACTACCCCTCTGTTTTCTTTATATAAGCATAGAAACTTTTTAACTTGGTGGTTATTTTATTTTACTTTAAATGAAAATTTTTAGAAAGATGCGGGATAAAAACAAAAAAAAAAAAAAAAAAAAAATTTTTTAAACTTGGGTGGTTTTATTTTATTTAACTTTAAATGAAAATTTTTAGAAAGATGCGGGATAAAAACAAAATAAAAAAAAAAAAAAAACTCTTATATGAGCTTTAGTTATCTATGCAAAATTACTTATTGAATGAAGAAAGTGTCAAGACAAAAAAAAAAAAAAAAAAAAAAAAAAAAAAACTCTTATATGAGCTTTATTATCTATGCAAAAATTACTTATTGAATGAGAAAGTGGTAGACAAAAAAAATAAATGACATCTAATAAACTTGTGTTTTTAAAATATGATTGAACGACTATTTTCTGTGTATTTTTAACCATGTGTTTGACTTTATAAATGTGAACACAAATATAAGTGACAGTTTGTGTACTCATCTAAAATACGAACACAATTGAAGGTGGTGCCTAGTTGTAAAAAGACTATTTTATGACAACATTAAACATTGTAAATATGAGCACGAATTTCATCAACTTTGACTAATTTAATGTAATTTTGTAAATTAATTAAGTACTGATGAAAATTTCATGCTCATGTTCTTTAAATGAAATATGGGCAATCCTGACTTAAATTGACTTTATAGATATGCTAAATATTACCGCAATTTTTTCATAACTTCACACATTTAAATTACTTTTTGGCAACTTAAAATAAAAGCATGGTGCTTATAAAATTTTTTACATCATCAAGTATTTCTGTTTTCATGTTAGCTACAACAATAGTTTGCAATTGACTCATTTCAAAAACTACCATAACTCCTTATTCTTCATCAAGTAAAAAGTTCAGATCTGACAGTTGGAAAGTTGTGGCTATATCTTGAGAATGAGTGTGCTAATTTGTTGAAATGTCATTCAGATCAAATTAAAATAGTGGATTCATAATGCAATACCACACTTTATTCCAAAGGTCCAAAATGCCCTTAATGAATCCTTTATACCTTGTGTCCTTAATTGTCTTTTTCCTTATTTTTCCTCTTTTTGGTTTTTACTACTAACTATTTAATTACATTAATTAAGTCTAAAATTAGTCCTAATTAAATATAATAAATAGCTAGGTCCTAATTTCACTTCAAGCCATACACATTACAATTCAATGAAAATATTTTCCTGGTTAGGTCACCAATCACCCGAGTCTCAAACCTCTTTAACCCAATTTTAAATAAAATTTCATAAATTAGTATAATCAACTTTAAATCCATTTATTAGGCATTTTCAATTATTCCAACCTTTCAAAAAAAAAAAAAAAGTAATTACTAAAATTGTCAGAACACTTAGTGCCACCTAATTGCTAGTGTTACAATATGTGCCACTGCACTTAATTGCATAACATTAAACCAAGCAGCTTCAAGTTCTAAATGTTGCGAAGCATCACTAAATGTGTTGATCATCTCATTATGTGTTAGATGCATCCTCATATGCTCTCAACTTTCGGGCAAAGAACGGATAACAGCTTGGATCTTTTGTTCCTTAGTCAGTACATTACCAACATCATGTAACTCACTTATCATATTGGACATTTCTCTTAAATGTTGCTTCATTGTATGTTCAAGACGCTTCTTATAAGTGTCAAACTTGAAAGTGAGTGATTGAAGTTTTGTGACGAAGACATCGCAAAACTTGTTCCTTAAAGCTTCCCATAGATCCCTAGCGAATTGAAAACTTTTGAATTCCTTCATGATGTCATCATCCATTGCCTTAGCATTGTGATACATGCTAAGGAATTCTTTCTTTTTCAAACTACATAAGCATCATGTTTTGACCTATGCTGAGTCGTGTTGCCTTCTTCAGGTTGTTCCATAATTTCACTCAAAGGTTCAAAAGCCTCTTACTCTTCAAGCATATATTGGCTTTTGACACTCCATATCGCATAGTTATCACCATTCAATTTGGTTGCTTTGTTTAGTTCAACAACTGTACTCTTCGTAGCATATGTCATTTGAATAGACATAAAATCTATTCAAATGATGTCATCATCCATTGCCTTAGCATTGTGATACATGCTAAGGAATTCTTTCTTTTTCAAACTAGATAAGCATCATGTTTTGGGCTATGCTGAGTCATGTTGCCTTTTTCAGGTTGTTCCATAATTTCATTCAAAGGTTCAAAAGCCTCTTGCTTTTCCAGCACATATTGGATTTTGACACTCCATATCACATAGTTATCACCATTTAATTTGATTCCTTTGTTTAGTCCAGCAACTATACTCTTCGTGGCAGATGTTATTTGAATAGACGACCAAGCCGCGGAGTATTGGAAACAAGCTATAACGCTTACTCCCGGAAATTATATTGAAGCGTAGAATTGGTTGAAGATCGCAAGGCGTTTCAAATAAGAGAAGAGCGCTCTCTTTGTATTTATTATTTTTATTTATTATTTTATTTATTATTTATTCTATTTATTATTTAGTATATTATTTAGTATTTTCTTTTTTTACTATTTGTTATATTTCTTATAACAAATTTGTTATAATTAATTGTTTGATATCGGGTTGTTCCATAATTTCATTCAAAGATTCAAAAGCCTCTTGCTCTTCCAGCACATATTGGATTTTGACACTCCATATCGCATAGTTATCACCATTCAATTTGGTTCCTTTCTTTAGTTCAGCAACTATACTCTTCGTAGCAGCTGTAATTTGAATAGACACAAAATCTATATATATTGACAATATTTATGCGCTCTTATTAATATTTTATGCATACCTAATAAAATATTATTTTTTCACCTAATTGCACATACTAATAATAACTCACATCATACTTAGAGTCAACAAATCACTGCGTTTCCAATTATCATCAATACATAACCTGAGATAATATTAGTATTGCAAAAAATAACAAATAAATAATGAATAAATAAATAAATAACAATTATCCTAACCAAGTTGCATTGCAAACTATAAATAAAACAATTCTAATTCATATTTCCAAAGAAATATGATAAAGTAATTCACAAAGAATTAATTATCAATTCACTACTAACTAACCAATCATGACATATCAAGATTTTCCCAAAAAGAACTACTAAAGTTTTTCCAAAAAAAAAAAAAAAATATCATTACAAAATTGTCTCCTAACAGGAATGGACTCCTCTAAAACTTGTGTCATTTTCGTCCTTTCATACATTCGATAACTCATTAGCTAAAATGCGATGATCATACATTGAACTTAGCATCATTAAATAAAATTTTTTTTCTTTCTTTTAACTCGCTTTTCCATATAATTTCTTGACAAGTTTCATGGACCCGTACCATATGGGGTATCAAAATTTGTAGATCATGAGGATTTGTTTTCGAGCTTAGTCGAATCACATACACATTCGTTTTAAAATTTCATCTAGTTGTCTTTTATGTTTTGGAGTCCTTGCCGCCTTTAGGTTCTTAAACATTCTAACCATAATTTTCTATAATACATTAGAGAAAATTACCAAATAAATCAAATGTAATATACACATATGCATAATTATTGATTTATCAATATATAATACTCCCAATATAAGCAATAGACATACTTAAAAAAATATTTCATAATTTTCTTAAACAAAAAAGAATTATTTGGTCTAAAATATTTTCCTCAATTTCTTTTGAAAAAAATTAGAATTTTTAACCAATTAAAGAATTCATAATATCATAGAAAATAGGATGTTAAACTTATTAATAATTTTCTATAATTTTCCAATAAATAAAAAAAATAAATTAATAAAAATAATTTCTAGACCTTCAAAAACATTTGAACGAAAAAAACTAATTATGATTTATTAGCCACAACCAATCAAGAGCTGCCACATAACAATTCCTGCCATGTGGCAGAACCCTCAAATAAAAAAAAAAAACACCCTCATCATTAGAGAGTGCAATCCTTACACTACCTCAAAGTGTGATTCCAATAACCAAACTTTCCGGTTGGGTTTTTTTGGGTCCCTAATATGTTCTAAAAAAGGTTAGTACTAAGTTTTGAATATTTAATTATCTTAACATATTAGACCAATCAAGAGCTGCCACATAACAATTCCTGCCATGTGGCAGAACCCTCAAATAAAAAAAAAAAACACCCTCATCATTAGAGAGTGCAATCCTTACACTACCTCAAAGTGTGATTCCAATAACCAAACTTTCCGGTTGGGTTTTTTTGGGTCCCTAATATGTTCTAAAAAAGGTTAGTACTAAGTTTTGAATATTTAATTATCTTAACATATTAGAAATAAATTTAAAAAAACACTACACCTGTTTTAATGGTCATACATATTTTAAAAAAAATTTAAATTTTGCCATTAAAATTAATTTCAACAGTTTAAATAAAAAAATATTGAATTTAAGGTGATTAATGATATGTTCATAGTTATCCAGAATTGTTCCCAATGGCAGAATTGAAAATAAAAAAAATCTTCATTAATGAAATATCCGTAAAATAAATAGAGAATCTGTCTCGATGGCAGATTCGTAAATATTTCACAAATCTAAATAATTCTTTTTTCCCATGGGCTATAGCCACCATTCACTATCCAAAAAAAAAAAAAAAAAAAAATCTCTTTCATTATTTATTTTTTATTTTATATAAAATAATATAAAATCAAACAAAAGAAACAAAAAAGGGGACCATGAGGGATTGAACGGGCATCACAGTCCTGATTCACACACAGTAACAAAAAAAAAAAAACATTTTTTATGACTAATTAAATAATTTAAATAGATTTAAATCAATTAAAAATATATAAATCTGGAAAAAATCAAAAAGATTTTTAGAACAAATCTAAAATATTTGTGACAACATATGAATTAAATAAATTTAACAGTTAACTCAATAATGAAGATAAATATATTTACACCTAATATGCTTGACATCAATTAAACTCATTTAATTGATTCACAAATTAGAACATAAAGGCATTGAGGCTCAGATACGAATGTTAAATAAAACACATGCTCATATAGCCATACATGATATGTAAAAGTGGGTGGGTCGAATACTTACCTTTTGTAGTGCAGCGGATGAACAACCTCTAGCCTTGCGTTATTAGTTTACTGATTGTAGGAGCAATCACGGTCAAATAAACTGCTCCTATTGTCCACAATCTATAAACCCTTCTGTCTATATGTGAATGAGAGAACAATCAGGTTACTAAAGAGTTTTTTTTTTTTTTTTTTTGTTACTAAAGAGTTTTTTTTTTTTTTTTTGTCTCTTTTTGATAGCAATAGTGGAAGAATATGTTCTTCTACTCCTTTTATTTTGTTTTTTTTTTTTTTTTTTTGTCTCTTTTTGATAGCAATAGTGGAGAATATGTTCTTCTACTCTTTTATTTTAGTTGAATTACCATGGTTGGAGTAATCCAACTGTAGATGCTCAAATTTTGCCCCTAAAGGCTCAATGATGATAAACCATTCTTCACACAAGTTTGGATCGGGATTCCCGATCGCCCCAGTTCTCGGAGTAATGGTCCGTGGCTGAGATTATATACGTGTTTAACCATTTTTACTTTTTTGGGTTACCAGGCATTTTGCGATGAAACTGAGCTTAAGAAGTGTGTCGGGCCCGCCCGGTACACTTTATCAATGCATCATCTCAATTTACGAGCCATCTGGTCTGATTTAGTAAAAATGGGCCCAGCCTTATTACGGGGCCCACCAAAGGCATTTCGCCACGTCAACCCTAAAATGGGCAACCCACTCATGTTTGCTTATAAATAGGCATTGTGGGGTGTGCTTAAGGGGAGGATTTTTGGAGACACTTGGAGAAACTCTTATTCCAACTCAACCTAGAAATCGAAGGATCTATTAAAAATCCCATAACACATCCATTAAACCTCAATCTCGGATCATTGGATTAAGAATCTAGCATTTGGATCTCTTTATCCACTCTTGAACAAAACTTTGAGGAAATCACCAAAAGATAATACTTGAGAGCTTTTAACTCATTTCCTCATCTTTTTCCTTTCATTTTGGTGTTTTAAACACCCAACTTGAGTCTTGTTATGAGGAAAACTCGGGATCAACCAAAACAGAGTCTCTATGCCTCTATGGCGCACGGCCAAAACTAGTGGCGCAAGCCACTACATGTGGCATGTGCCACAAGCTTGTGGCTCGCGCCACTTCAACCCAAAATCCCCTGTTTGACTCTATTCTTGCCTGAAACCTTCCTGATCTTGGAAGGGCCTGGCGCCACTACGTATGGCATACATCACACCCTTGTGGCGCATGCCACTTCCCCTATGGCCCTAGGCCCTTCAATTTAGAGGTTCAAAACATCAATAATTAATAAAAAAAGCTTTGATGCAGAGATCCAGTAGCAAAGCATCAACCTTAATTGGTTTGGGATGCATTTTTGCATATTAATAGATCAAATAAACAATAAAAAAACAAGATTGAGAGCCATGATTGGTGTATTTGTTCATATTTCATGATGAACATCTAGGCCATGAACTTAAATCTTGTTCAATCTTTTATATTCTTGCCTTTTAATTATTGTCCTTTACTTTTATGCATCTTTATTGTTCTGTTTCTTATATTTATGCCTTATAACTTAATGTATTATGATTATTATTGCACTACCCTCTATTTAACAACTTTGTAATTAAAATATGCATCATTTGAGCATTTATTGAATGAATGAATGTTTAATGATTATGGATTTATGATTTTATTTCTGTGAATATTGTTGTATTGTGTTTGTATTACTTGGATGGTTTTGTCATGCTTTGTTTTAATGTTTTATTATGGCAAAATGTAAGAGATCTTAATGGGTCTCATTTATTGCATGTTTGTAATAATTATGGGGTTTGGGAAATTTGGAAGGCATTAGGGTAGAATGTACTTTAGGTGTGGTTTGTATTATTTTCTCCTCACTCCCTTCTTTGAATGTTTATTTTTATATTCTATGTTTCAATAAAATGCTTGAATGACATGTTTTCTAAAAAATGCATCAAAAGTATTTATATCTCATTTTTAGTTAATGGTATTATTAAATGAATTGTGAATTAATGGACAATGAGGAGGCCGGTTTATCGGGTGATATAGGTGCCTAACACCTTCCCATATCATACCTAACTCCTAGACCCCGTCTCTGGTTTAAAACCGAGTTAGTTAATTCCAAAGAATCAACTAATTCGAGAATTTTTCCCAATAAGGGTGTCGACTCCAAAAATAAAACTCTTACCAAACTAAGAAAACCTTTTTCCGAGGATTAACGAATGGATTAAATCAAGACAATCAATTTATTAGATAAAATCAACCAAGTCCATTTGATTTGAATCTTTCCTCCCATTGAGGGAAAAATCATAAAATTGCGTGTCCTTAGCCTGGCGATTTTGTTGGGGATCGAACCTAAAATCTCTAGTTTTTAGTTTTGAGTTTGAGTAGAGAGTTGACTCCAAAAGTTGTCCACTTATTCACAAACTTTAATAGTGCTACTAACTTTAAATTGAGTTCACTTTTTTGTACTTATAAATGTCATTCATGCATTTATCTCTTCTTAATCTTTTTTCTACCCTAAACCCTAAAGGCGATATTGGGGGTTGTGGTCCTTTCACTCTATTCGACTATTAGGATCCGCCACTAATATACACCACCCATAAGTCAAGTACCATTTGATAATATCAAAAGAATTAACACAATACATTATCACGATTTGCTTACACCTAAAGCAAATGGGAGGAAACAACTACTTCTCGCTTATGGAGCCCAAGACTTAGTCAGCCCAACCAAAGCTCATATAATTGACCCTAGTTCCTTCCTCTAGGTTCACCTTAATAATCTATGATTGTTGCATTCATACAATAAATGCGAGAGGCGTCAGTCCAATACAATAAATGCGAGAGGCGTCAGTCCAAAACCCCATATGGTTTATGGGCTCAACCAATATGTCCTAGGGTTTAGTTTACTTTTGACCTTGAATCGTGTGTGGGAGATATAAGGGTGAGATCATGCATTTTCCAACTCCCTTTCCCTTTTGTTTGCATATTATTGCTATGATTGTGTTGTGCTTTATTCATGCATCACTTAACTTGTTTTATTGAAGTCATATAGGTATACTCTATCATGGCTCGATCCGGACGTTCGAAGCGCCAAAGCGCAAAGGACTTAAAAGAAGTGCTAAAAGTAAAGAGAGCCAAACGAGCTCTTTCCAATGGTGACTACAAGGCTGATGCCCAAGTACCTAAGAGGGAAGCTCCTCCAGTTCCAACTCTAGTTAAAGAAGACCAATTAAAAGAGGCTCATGAACTTTTGCTTGAAATAAAGCAAGCGCAACTTGATGCCATGACTCCCTTTCAAGGTGTGGAGGCGTGATTCACGCTCATACGCAATATTGCCAACCGCCTTGTAAAAATTGGGCCCTTCACTCTAGAGGATGCAAAGTCATATCAAACCTCTTAAGATTTGAGTTTCAAAATTGCAAACACTTAGTTAAGGCCTCAAAAGAACAATCAATATAGAAAGTCAACTTTTTGGGAATGAAATGAAATGAGTATATTTTGAGCCAAATATTATTAATACCAAAAGAGAAAAAGAAAAATTCTCAATTGTATATAAATAAAGAACCCTGCTCAAGTATTATCACACTTAAGGCCAAAACAAAGGGATACAAAATAAATAATAATAATAATAATAATAATAATAATAATAATAATAATAATAATAATAATAATAATATGTCAATATAAATATTTGGCTACAAAATCGGCATATTTTGATCTTATCATTTCTCAAGAGCCCTTCTTTGATCTTGTTCTCGAGTGGTCGTGATACAACCACGATGGAATATAACATTAGTTGCATTTCACGATGTCATGATTGTGCGATTACATTTTGGTGTGCCATTCCATATTCATGCATCCACGCATACATGCATCATGTTATGTTTGTTAATATTTGTTTTATGCAGTCAAGATAGCACCTCGAAGAGAAAAAGCTCCATAAGTGATCGGTTGGTTAAGAGCAGGCAATCGCTTGGTTAGAGTTGAAGGACCTTCAACCCCCCTCTGACTTGCTTGTTTCAGTTCTTACCAGTTCTTTGGGCTCCCTCACTGAGATTGGGAACTTTCTAGTTCAAGCAGATTTGTCAGTTTTAGCTTCCATATTCGTCGATAGCATGGGTGAGCCTAGTGTTCCTGTCTCTGAAATTGAGAAGATGGTTAAGAAGATAGTGGCAGCTAACCTAGAAAAGCTCTTAGGCTCTAATAAGGGTAAGGAGCAGGTGATAATAGAAGATGATGAGGCCGAGAGCGAATCTGAAAGAAAAGAGCACATGGATGACACTTGGCAAGACAAGGAATTATTTGCTAAGAAGATGCCTACAAAGAAGACCGAACCTAAGCCAGTTGTGTTGAAAAAGTTTGAGAAGCTGGATAAGAAGTTAGAGAAGCTGCATGTCTTCATGAAATCTAAGGAAATGGATCAATATGTAGACATCGATGATGATGATGATAATGAGTTGGAATTGAAGCACACTACTCCTGTGATCTACAAGATGCCAAAGGTGGCAAAATATGATGGTACGCGTGATCCTAAGGTGCATGTCATGCAATACAAACTAGTAATGGAATTGGCGGGTCTGCCGTCAAGGAAGATTCTAAAGATGTTTCCTATGTCCTTGACTGGGTCTGATCAGACATTTTTATTACAACTTAAAAAAGAAGGTGAAGAGATTGGAACGAGCTCACCACGATTTTCTTGAAAGAGTATGCTTACAACCTTCAAATGAGTGTCAATTTGAGGGATTTGGAAGCTATTGTGCAGAAGAATGACGAGATCTTTACTGATTATATTGCTAGGTGGAGAGCTAAGGTCACACAGATGAGGAACCATCCAAATACCAAGGAGCAGATCAAGATTTTTATTAAGGGGATCCTGCCAGCTTTCCGAGAGAAGCTGTATTACATGCCCTTAACTGAATTCTCCTCCAATTTTTCCCTTGCCCTTACCCGAATTTGAGTTTCCTCCACTTGCCATTATATGATAGTAAAATATAATTTGGAAAATTGAATAAAAAAAATTAGAGAGAATAATTACTTAATAAGAGAGATTGTAGAGTAGAGAAGAATAAATGAATAATAATAAGAGAGATTGGTCTTTAGAGTTAGAGAAGAATAAATGAATAATATTAGAGTAGAGTGTAGTATATTGTAGAGAGAGTAAGTGGAGGTGTAGGTATATTGTAGGAGAGTTTAAGTAGAGAGAGTTAGATTTTTTTTGTCGTTAGTAATGAATTTAATGACGTAAATAAAAATGAGGGTATTTATAATTAATCAAAAAATTCATTTTTTTCCAAAAATAGTGCCTTGAAACTAAGCCGTTAGTGTAGCGTTATGGCTTGTTGGGAGGGTAATTTAAGACATTTCACAACACATTTTAAATATGAAAAAAAAAACTGCAGTTTCTGACAGTACTTACAACGGCTAGAACGCCGGTTGGAACGCAGGTTCTAACCGTACGGAGAACGGCGGTTCCAAGTCCGGTTCCGACCCGGTTCTGTTCCAGTCCGGTTCCGACCGGTTCTCTGGAACCGCCGGTTCTGGTTCCTTATTTGCTGGAACCGGAATCGAACAGAATTTTTCCGGTTTCGGTTCCGGTTCGTCCCGGTTTTGGTTCTCATCGGTTCCGGTTACGGTTCCGGGCTGGTTCGAACCGATGGTTTCGGTTCCCGGAACCGTAATATGGCCAAGTCTAGGACTATATGTTCTTCCTACTCTTCATCTGATGAACATATGTAAAAAAAAGTTCCATTTTAATCATCCAGTCTGTCGGTTAAATCTTCAACTATTGCATTGGTTGCGTATGAACTTCAACTTCTTGAAATGGCTCAAAGTTTGATACTACAACAGATTGTTTGGTTTCAACTTCTAATACAACTGCTCTAGTCTTGATTTTGCATACTGTCATCCAATCCAATCGATCTCGTTTCAGAGATGGATACGTAACATTATACACCTTCGCAACTTGCATCGTCAACACAAAGGGTTCATGCTTTGTATATCTTCTTCTATGATTAATATCTACAAGGTTATACTTCGGATGAACCTATACCAATATTTAATGTAGGATCGAACCATTCACAGTTGAATAAGATTGTGCTTTTTATTAGTAAGGATGGATACTCTAACTCCAAAACCTCAACCAACTTCCCATAAAAATCATTTGACTTGTCACTGTAGTTTGATCCCTTTATTAGTTTGATCCCTTTATGCAAACACCACCTGTTCATTATTTTTTGCTTATCTTGTAGTCCTCAGTATGTAACTTGTATCCATTTACAAAGTAACTAAAGTATGCATTAGCTAGCGGTAGAGGTCGTCTTGCTAGATCAACAATGAATTTGTTATCAATATTATTTTCAAAATTTCTAGCTTGTATGAAATAACAATAACACAGGGTAAGAGTAAGGTATTCATTTTTTACTGTGAGTAACTTGAAAGGTCCTTACATAACATTTAAACCAATCTGCAAATTCTGTCTCAAGTCTTGCATCGATCGCAGTATTAGTCAAATTAGGATTTTGTTCTCATAAATGATCAATAAATTTCCTATTTTACGAGCATGGTGTTGGACGAAATGTGATTCAAATAAGTTATTAAGCTTAGTAAACACAGATTTTGTTACTTACTATACAAATGGAGAAACCTTTCCACAATTCAATGATATACAACTTTGAGCCGCTTGTATCTCTACATCAATCGATGTCTTTTTTTTTTTTTTTTTTTTCTCGTACATCAATCGATGTCTTTTTTTTTTTTTTTTTTTGCTTTTCCAATGTGTGCACATTAATAGGTGAAAGATGTGTTAAGTGGCGCTTTCTAACTCGGATGCAGTTTGCTTGTCACCGTCATCATTATGCCTTACGCTCTTGATGCTTAGTATAAAACATGTGGGTCAATAGTAATGTGAACAGGAAGACGATTTTTTTTTTTTTTTTTTTTTGCTTTTCCAATTGTGTGCACTAGATAGGTGAAAATTGTTAGATTTCCTTCTAACTCGGATTCAGTTTGCTTTCCACCGTCATCATTATGCGACGCTCTTTGATGCTTGGTATAAACATGTGGTTCAAAGTAATGTGAACAGAAGATGGAAGCTTCCTCTACTAAGTATGCATTGCAAATTGAACCCTCAACCTTAGCCTTGTTACGCACTTTTTTTTTAAATTTTGTGCAGGTGCTTGTAAGTATATGTAAATGTTAGTCTAAATTTAAGTTAAGACTAGAACATTACAATATGATAAAAATGATTCACCTTTCAAATGGATACATCCATCTATATTGTACTAGTCCTACAATCCGACATTCATATGGCAGATGAATAGGTAGATGCTCCAAAGAATCAAAGAATCCAAGGTGGAATATCCACTCCAATTTGCATAAGATTAACTAGATTTCTCGCGCTAATTGGTCCATATCATCTATCCGAATAACAATTGTGGTCAATTCCTTGAAAAATATACTCAACCCTATTATTGCTTCGCAAATTCTTCCTATCAACAGTTCTCGGAATGCTACAGGTATCAATCTTTATATGAAAACGTGGCAATCATGGCTTTTCATGCTAAACAATCTGTATTTATTCATGTCAACATATCGTCCCATGTTTGATACATACCCATCTGGAAATCTCAATGTTCGAACCCACTCATAAAATACTTGTTTTGTGACTTATCTAATGCATAACAAGCCTCTAGATACTTCTCTATAACTGCATTTTGTTCAATTGCTGGGCGATGACAGATTTCTTTCATATTCGTTCTAGCTTGGCATTATCCTTTGATTTCCCCTCAATGTTCATTGCAATGTTGAAGATATTTTTAAATACATTCTTTTGTATGTGCATCACACCGAGGTTGTGACGAATAAGAAGTGTACTCCAATATGGTAAATCCCAGAAGATACTATATTTTTTCCATCCACTATTCTACCCAATCCAACCATTTACCTCTTTTGCACCTAAATCTGTCACTTTCATCAAATCCAAATCTTCAATTTCCTCCAATTTTTGTGCTCTTGACTTCATAGGTGAAGGGGATCATAAACAATTGTGTTTTTTTTCTAAAATATTGTCGATTTTGCCTCCAAAAGTGGTCATCTGGTAAGAATTTGGATGACAGTCAAACCGACATTGCTTTCCTCCATTTTTCAATGTAAATGCACTATTCTACTCCCTACAATGGGGACAAGCTAGTTTGCTAGCAGTAATCCAGCCAAATAACATTACTAGTGTAGGAAAATCACTAATTGTCCAAAGCAAAGCTGCTCGAAGTACGAAATTTTGATTTGTCAAAATATCGAATGTTTCAACCCTTGACTCCCACAAATCTTTCAATTCAGCGACCAAAGGCTGTTAGAAAACATCTATTTTATACTTTGGATTAGTTGGGCCAAGTATAATTATAGAGAAAAACATGTACTCCTCTTTCATACACATTGAGGGCAGTAGATTATAGGGTGTTACAATCACAGGCCATGATGATATTATTGGCCTGATTGACCGAACGGTTGAAACCCATCCATACATAGCCCCAATCTCACATTTCTAATCTTAGAAGCAAACATAGGATGCTGATTATATAACTGTTTCCATGCTTCAGAGTCTGTCGGATGAGTCATTACATCATCCTGAGATTGATGCTCAGCGTGCCATCTCATGTGTTTAGCTATTGTATTAGATGCGTATAGCCTTTGAAGACGAGGAATCAAAGTGAAGTAATACATCTTCTTGAAAGCTTTCTCTCTTTGTACTCTCCCAATCCCCTAACCCCGCCTTTGAAATCTAGGAAGATTACAGAACTTATAAACTCTTAATTCAGAGTCACTGCCCCAGTATATCATACAGTTATTCCGACAATAATCAATTTTTCCATAGGTAGTCCTAAACCACAAACTAATTTTTTGGTATGGTAAAAACTATCCACCATAGAATTATCTTTTGGCAATATTTCTTTCATTAACTGAATAAAATCATTGAAACACCTTGCTGAGAAGTGGTGCTCTGACTTCATATGTAACAATCGTGCCACTACAGATAGTTTTGAATGAGTTCTGCACCTAGGCCACATTTTAGTGTCAGTAGCAGTTAGCATGTCAAACAACTTTTGCGCCTCAAAGTTAGGTGATTCCTCCATATTCTCCCAATGAAATTCTAACATAGTAGCATCAATATCCATCTCATTATATCGCCAAGTTGGATTTGACTCAAATTCAAGAAGCTGAGTGATAGATGATACATTATATAACCAACTGGAATCATTAGAAACCTAGCTTCACCATGAAAATATCCATTCATAGTAGTTGTCCATAAAGCCATTCTTGCATAAATGAAGCTTGACTGTATCGATATCAAAGAATGCATTGTTTTGACACTTTTTATGTTTACATGGACACCTCAATTTGCTACCATCCATATAACTCGGATCGCCAATTGCAAACTATATAAATGATTCTAATCCTACGAAAATTCTTTTCTAAGTATCCTATTCACCTCATACCTCCTGTGCATCTATTCCCAATCATTTCACAATTTTTTAGGTACTGAACACTCTGTTTTTTGATTGAGGATAAAAGATTAATAGAATTTCTAATCTTCTAAGTTGTTAATGTTTTCCTAAGTACATTATATATTATGCATAAATCATTTAGTTATTGTGCATAAATTTCACTCCATCTCTCGATAAAAGTGTCAATTCTAAATTGAAAA